ATGTTTTTCTTAAATTTACCACCGAGGGCGTGATTTCGGCTCGTGCCGAGCGTTCAGGCAGCAAATCTCGGCACGTGCCGAGTTTCGGTCCCAAGCATCCATCGGGACCGAGATCGAGTTCTTTTCGGCACGTGCCGACTCGGTCCCGACCGTTCACACACAATTTTCGGCAAGTGCCGTCTCGGTCCCGAGTCTCAGCACGTGCCGAGATCTCTAACGTGAACGCCACTATCATCGTTTACGGTTAATGTAATTTACCAAGTGTGACAACATTCAATTTGTTAATCTTTAAAATGTGGAACGGCGTGATGTGGTATGACAAAGCATGGCTTGGTATGGGTTGCGTTGCATGACGTGTTTGGTATGACATGGCTTGAAGCGGAGGGGTTGGTGCAGTATGGTTTGGTATGGCTAGTGTAGCTTGGTATAGTTGATGTAGCATTGCGCGGAATGGCGATGCCAGATTAGGTTTGAAATTGTCAGTGGGGGCATGCCAAGGCTTAGTTTGTATGGCATGATGTCACGAGGAATGACACGGTATGATTGTTGAGACGTGGCATGGTTTTTAGTGGCGTGGTGTTTCATAGCGTGGCGTACTATGGTTGATGGCATGGCGTGGTTTGTGTGGCAAGACATGACATGTGTGGCAAGACATGACATGTGTGACAAGACATGACATGTGTGACAAGACATGACATGTGTGACAAGACATGACATGTGTGACAAGACATGACATGTGTGACAAGACATGACATGTGTGACAAGACATGACATGTGTGACAAGACATGACATGTGTGACAAGACATGACATGTGTGACAAGACATGACATGTGTGACAAGACATGACATGTGTGACAAGACATGACATGTGTGACAAGACATGACATGTGTGGCAAGACATGACATGTGTGACAAGACATGACATGTGTGACAAGACATGACATGTGTGACAAGACATGACATGTGTGACAAGACATGACATGTGTGACAAGACATGACATGTGTGACAAGACATGACATGTGTGACAAGACATGACATGTGTGACAAGACATGACATGTGTGACAAGACATGACATGTGTGACAAGACATGACATGTGTGACAAGACATGACATGTGTGACAAGACATGACATGTGTGACAAGACATGACATGTGTGACAAGACATGACATGTGTGACAAGACATGACATGTGTGGCATGATTGTTGCGACGTGATATAGCTGATGCGGCGTGAACTTACTCTTGAAAACTATGCTTAAAGCGCGGTGGTCGCCCCGCAGCGCGTGTTCGAATTTCATGTAAACAAACAATGTATTTTACACGCGTTGTATACGTCGCTATGAGTCCCATATCGAACAGGACTCGGCGCGACGACCACCACCCCCTAACTCTATATAATTCTGAAAAGAGAACTCTCAGCTCAACAAAGAACTGACAAATCGAGGTATTTACCATGGAGTGCATAAGTGGGAATACCAGACGATAATGCTTCTGTATACAGCATTTGGTCATATGCACGACTAAAAACTAATGCGAGGCTACATTTAATTATTTTTACACTGAACAAGCTTTCACAAAATGACAGCACGCTTAATTTCAGCAATACAAACGGTTCGAACCTATTCATACTATCAAATAGAAGACCGAAACAACAATGTTTCTCGTAATACACAGCATAGTCCATGAAAAGAAAACCAATCAATCAAGGGAGGTGTCAATGAAGGGTTGCTATCACGAATATCAACAAGCGAATTTTAATAACAAAATCAAAACATATAAACCCATCGGCAATCAGATTGTCTTCACACAAACCATTGTGTCGTTAACGTGCCAATTCCATGAGCGTGACACTACAACACAATACAGTCACGCGTTCTCCATATTATGGAGCTCCTCAAATCATAGATACGTGCTAATCTCTGTGTTTCTAGTATTATATTTCTCATTTTAATGAATAGATTTTTTTTTTAGATTATAAACCAATCATTCAGAAATTCGTGCAAATATTCAACTATATTGATTAAATACACGATCACACCATGTCTAGAAATTAACATTTTGAATGGCTGCAAGATGTGTCTTTTATTTCTTTTCTCTAATATAATGCAACTATTTAGTTGATTAATTGATTGATAACACCGTTGCTATGGAAACCGATCGACTTTATATACAATGTATGTGTACACTGCGCACATACACATGTAAAACAAAACAAATGAATATTATCTGAAATATGTGTGATCAACGATCTTATCCGGAAAATGTTTATTATGTTCTAATCGATTTGTTTTTATCATCATTTTGTAACATACTTTGTGTCCCAAATAAAGCTGCTCGAATTAATATTTGAATCGTGTCATTGAATTGAATGCAATATAAAATGCCACGGTAAAATAAACACATTGTCATCGAGTGGGGTTTCGCTGGTTACAACTGTGGTTCCTATGCAACACAGATATCATTAGCGAAATTCACAGATGTTGAGCAAGAGCGCTATAAAATATACCTGTCTCATTAAAATACATTCCGGAGAAAGAAAGTCCAATTACTCCGAAAATACATTCTCTGCTCAGCCATATTGTTAGGGTTATGTGTTTAATGCGCAGAATAATGAAGCCACAGTGGAATTGTTTCTATTTTCAGCGCAAATTTGGATTGTTAAGTGCTTTACGCTTTAATTGGCCACGTGTGAATCTAACTCTGATTCGCAAATTAAGTGTTCCCGCAAAAGAAAAGTCACGATATCAATATAGGCTACCTTATATACGGGTAAACAGAAGTTGACATCTTGCAACCGAGTGTTACGTGCGTTACTCTAATACACTCCCTGAAGTGATTAACTTTCACACAAGTAAAAGTTCACCCATATCACTTTAGCTAAATTATCCCGGTTGTATTTGCTGAACATGATGGGTTGGGCACAATCTATTTCCTAACAGTCATATGATTTGAGCAATAAAATTCTGATTCAAATAAATATTGAAAGCATCAAACACGTACCATAAGATGACGAGAAATGATTGAGCGCTCATATGCATGAAAGATACCATGTGATACCATGAAAGACATTCACATTTGAATTCAAGCGGTAGCCTCTAAAGCGAAATTAATCAATTAAACATCAAAGCTGTAAGCATCAGAGGTTCAGGAATCAAGTTTCCCATTGGAAACTAAAGAAGTTTGATATGAATGCGTTGATATAAGCTACAGACAGAATAGATTTGAATACTGCCCATTTTTAAAGTTTCAGTTAATAAATCAGTTATAAATTTGGGCGATGGTGTCAATAAATCGACCACGAGGCTAATCGCAACTCTGGATACATACATGCAATAACCCAAATGACAGGTGAAAAAGAAGAATACATTGTTTTGTACCATTTCTTGGTAAATACAATATGGCGGTAAAGGTCACGTGACTGCCAATTTATTAATGTCTGTCAACATGATACAGTTAAACTTAAACTCAGAAGTATGAAAGATGCAAGCATGGCTGCCACAAGCACAGCCACACTAGTTCATCTCAAATACGTGTACCAACTTTGAGAACATTCAATACTGCTCGCAAGAACTTGATGTCAAATTTCGTCAACACCAATAGCCGACAGACACGTATAATATAAGCTATAATCGGTGACAGAAAATATTGCAAACTTTATAAAAATAAAAAACGTGATTTACATATAAATTTAGTGGCTTATATTCACTCATCAATATCGAAGGCGTTACTTATACGCACTCGATTAACAACACGTATCACATATTATATGGACGTCAGCAGATATAACGAGCACGACAAATATCCTATACGCTCCCACGTAGATACTGAACAGAACAATGATGTCGATGCAATGGTTTCATCTCTACTACGTTCCCAATTAAAATAAAAAAAGAACATCTCATTAAATGTCAATTCCTATGAATGTATTCATGGGCGTGATAATATTTTGCAAATATACCATGCCATCCCCAATTCACGAAACATATAAATATTTCATGATTAATTTACTCTGACTGTACTGTTGCAATACAGAGCCTGTGGATTATAGCTATAAGAGGATACATCTATTCTACAGATTAAGGCAAATGCTGAAATCAGATCGATGTCCCCTATGAGCATGTTTCCACAAAGATACAATTCAATCCTTATTGCCAAGGGTTTTAAAGTTGTTCGCCAGTTTTCTTGTGAAAAAAACAGTAATCACGACAAGAATACAATATACAGTGTGGTCGGCGATGGAGACAACACGTTTGTTATTTGAAATAACCCGGCATGCGCATCTATATTTTCATTTCTATTGGCGTATATACATGTACCGCTGGGTATAGATTAGTACAGCTGCCTGATGGAAATCATGCGATGGATCTTCTAATCCGATTGCTTTTGCTCCGTTCCCCTAATATGGTCATGTCGTGTCACGTATGTTCGATTGAGCTAACTACTCCTACAAGTTTGGATTGCACGAATGTTACATCGTTGAGACAAACAATAATCACCGTCTGCATTATATATTGAAACAAATTTTCAAGTATGAGTTTGTTATTGCGGTCTGTGAAAAATACCTTGTTTGGCTTATATTACAAACAAATTATATATCTGAGCATATTCAAATTACCAAACAATTAACTACAACTCTATTCTGACGTGATATTCTGATATATACTTATAGTTGACGTCCAATACACGGCTGCTGACTGTTCTGTCTGATTTTGATCGTAATGACACTTCGAAAAGGCGAGTTTCTATTCGTGTGGTTGCCATGTTACCGAGCAAACGCGCCAGTGTTGATTCCATGAAGAAATGAAGAAAAGAGATTTCACAAGTTTAATACATTTCCTTAGCTGTTGCTCCTTAAAGATTTCTTGAAATGTCTTGGAAAATTGTGTCCTGCTTTATCAGCGCACATTTCACAAACACATTTCTTATATTCTACGTAAACGTTCAAGGCATTCAAGGTAAAAATTACTGTACAATAATACCAACATAAGGCTAATACGTTTTTAGCTTGTGAACAGCAAGCTTTTTTTTTGTAATTTGAATACAAGATTTGTCATTCAACACCATCCAACCCAGAATACAACACTGTTCATGCTTGATCGATTGCTTAATCAATATAAATGTAATTTCACCTTCCCATTGAACTGACGTGGTTTTGATTTGAGTGTATAAATATCAAACTTATCACTAACTTATCCATGACATAAGATAAGATATGTAAAATACTATTGATGATGTACTCACATATCTTTAATATCGTTTTCGGAGAAGAAACCGCCATGAGCCACTTCCAGACTGTTTACGATCTGCATTAGAAAAATGAACAAACTACAGAATTAATAAAACTGGAATATATATGCTGTTTGCAGCGTCTTAAAATATGTTTCTGACAGCAGCTAGTTAGTCTCAAAAAGCGTATAACTAGATTACGTATGTATTTATGTATGCATACATGTATGTATGTACTAGTATCATCTATCAGTGAATAGTCATATCAACCAGCATCGTTTCTTCATTGTTCAGTGATTGGTTCTATCAACCAGCATCATTCCCTCATTGTTTAGTGAATAGTTCCATCAACCAGCACCATTCAGTGTTCAGTGAATAGTTCTACCAACCAACACCATTCCTTCATTGTTCAGTAATTGGTTATTTCAACCAGCATCTTTCCTTCATTGTTTAGTGAATAGTTCTTTCAACCAGCACCATTCCTTCATTGTTTAGTGAATAGTTCTTTCAACCAGCACCATTCCTTCATTGTTTAGTGAATAGTTCCATCAACCAGCACCATTCCTTCATTGTTCAGTAATTGGTTATTTCAACCAGCATCTTTCCTTCATTGTTTAGTGAATGGTTCTATCAACCAGCATCATCTGTTTATTGTTTAGTGATCGATTCTAACAATGGTTCTATCAACCAATGTGGACATTTCTTCTTGTTTAGATAATGAACATTCAATTAATTGCACATAACATTAGACATACCACTGCATGCACGATATGTATCGTGGCAAACAATCCATATCGCCACTTCTATCAGACAAGGAATTGCTCACCCTTACGCTAATTGGTCAGTGGTATCTGTGACCTTAGTCGATGCATATTTCGTGCATTCTGTGATTGTATCGTTTTCAGAGGGTCCATAAATCAACATAAATCACAAACCCTAAGTAACATTGTATGCTGGTTACTATAAACGTTATGCATACACCATAATCATCGCGTATCTATGAATTATGAGGTATGTATTGTTTCACCTCTAAGTATGAATATAAACACGTAATTGCCATAACGAAAAATCAAATACGTATATGTCAATAGTTCGGTGCATTAGACATCACGTTAACCGTTGACGACAGACACACTGCCCATCGGTAAGCGGTAATCTCGACAAACACAGCAGATAAATCCATACTACTCGAACCTCTGGGGATATCAGTTAACAGACTGAACATGAAAACCCTTCACTTGCATTTCATGGATAGAAGGTATCTTGTGTCCAATCTTCTGAACATTTGCTAATCATACACAGCAGAGTGGTTTTATGTACATGCGAGATAATGTCGATCAAGATGATAGGAATTCACAAGAGCATGGATGCAGTCTCACCTAATTCGTCAACTAATATGCTGTAGAAAATTCAATCAGTGTAGTGTTTCCACACATCCTTACGTGGATCAACTACACGGATATGCCATTTATTTTTGTTTTCTGGTTTGTTTTTACTCGCGCACATATCTCGCAAGATACAATTATCACTTCCGAATTTCATCTTATTGAAATTTCATTTAAATTTTACGACATTCGATTCTTTTTTTTATAAGATACGTCCATATTTACAATCTCACTAAAATTCCATCTGATCGACACTATATGAATAGTGAGATCACAGTGCGGCCCCCTTTATAATGAAATTGCACGGAAGTAAGCACCTTATAGGATAAACGGAATCTTGTTAGCGAGGCGGGTAATGTTTCAGCAATTTTCAATTTGGATTCATATTCAGTGCCCTCGGGCTATAGATCTTATCGCTGTCTTGCCCCGAAGATGTGTCATCAAGAAAATAGATTGGTACACGTTGGCGCGGAGAAAAAAATGTTTTACCTTTCCAGTTTCCATCTTTCACAGTACAAAATAATTGCATGCATTATACAAATATAAAAGAATCAACCATGTGCGCTTTTCATATGCGTTATTACAGGCTGTTAATGAACATATTTGATAGTAATTTCGAAATGTGAAAAAAGTACGCAGTGTGCGAGTCGCGATGCAAATTCGCCATTTGAATATTTCAAGTTCTATATACAAAAACCTAGCTTTTAAAGGATTAACAAGATGTTGTTTTTTGTATTCCCTGCTGATAAGTCCAGTGGTTTTGTTTAAGTCAAATCAAGCCAGGGGACTGGAGCCGCGGGCATGATCAATTATCAAAACATCAAATGCCTACGTGCAGATTCAAATATCGAAAGAACTATATCTGAAAAAACATGTTTATAATATATATTGTAATCTACTAGACATTAATTAAAAGTAAATTGTAAAATGATATGCGTGCTAACTGCGACGATACACGAATCTAACACAATTTAATTGGCACGAAATTTAAGTGAAAAATATATAAGAATTGAAGCATCGATTAATGAATAATCAAAGCAATTAGTATGCACGATTTGTATTTGTTATATAGCCATTACAACTCACACTGCGATGTAATGTGCGCGTGAAACGTGTGATTTAAATACACTCTCTGTGGGACAATTGTTATATTTTTTAAGAGCATTGATACTAACTAATTAGGCATACACACAAACGATATATGGATATCAACTCAATATGTTATTCACTTTATAATTTCATATAATAAACGTATGGCACGCACACCCATAAATTGGCGCCCCAGGGAGGCATGAAATGAAACTCAATTACGGTTTATGGCATGCTGACAGAGAATACACAGACAGCCACACTTAAAATAAGAGCGCATTCATGAAAAACAAATGAAAACTAAATACCTCGTCCACATCAAGGAAACCGTCTTTGTTTTCGTCTAAACCCTCAAACAAGTCTTCCATATTCATATCAACTTCTTCAGGTTCCTCGTCGTATTCCTCCATATCTTCTAGAGTAGTACTGTTAGTGAGTTCTTTCTCTTCCGCCAGTTGTATAATGTGCTCACACTCTTCATCAGTCAGGAAGTTTGGAATTTCTGCGTTAATTCAGGACACATAAAGAAATTCACAATGATAATACCTTTTCACAACTATGGAAGGTGTATATGTGATGCGGCTAAAGGGATTTCCTGCAATTGATTCCCTTAATTGAATATTTTGAAAATAATTGGCGAAACTGAGTTTCTGAATCATGAACCTCAGCTGTGCGTGATGTTGCCAATTGTTAATTCAAAATGGCTCATCAGTGTAGGATTAACGATAACAGTCATTGTTTCCACGGAAACGAGATCCTCTTTTTATTTTGCTCGTTTTCATTCGTTTCTGAAACATTATGTTCAACAACAAATGAAGGATTTCCAGTGCTTTTAAATTGTCCACATCTTTACTCGTGAATCCATTCTCGATGAACAAGTACGAGCTTGTGGTTTTTGTTTGTTAGGTTCATATTAATTCAATGTAAACATCCGTGGAAAGTAGAAAAGTAGTTGAAACCATTTTTCAGGTACTCAATCGAATGCAGCTGTTCACGTGCAAATTATGGAAAACCCATTATATCTGACGACTAATAGGTTTACTGTCACTGTGACTTAAGAAGCCGTGTAGGTCAGTTTGATCCAGTATAAAACATACCACCAAGCTCACCACAAAGTATGTGTCAGCTAAATGAACAGATTTAATCTCTACCAGTACTCTTTAAAAAATGTTTGTAGTTATTGCATTTGTTATTAGTCACACTAGTAGTCTTTACATGGCAAACAGGTCTTGACAATTTTTCAAAGCTAGATACATACCAGATTCAAATTAGTAGATAATATTCGTAAATGGTCGCTAAGAGAGCAACGCGACTTTTGTGTACCCCGAATAGGACTAGGCGCAATCGAACAGTGTTCGAGTCTCTCTCGCGCCTAACAAGACAAGCTCTAATTTGGACGAAAGTCTCAAATTATTGTCTACGTACATACGAGTCTAATAGACGTATTCATAATTACCGGATGGACGGGAATTAGTAGTACTGTTTTATATGATTTGTTTATTTTAAAATGAAATCAAATATGTATCATCGGATTTTATAAAGACCCAACAGTCGAGACGTTATTATCTATGTTACAGCCAACCAATTAATTACATTTACGTAATTTGCACAGGTTTAACATGTTCTCCATGATGAAACGTTCAAGAAAAATAAGCAAGTTTAGTTCCAATGTAAATGTAGTTTAACTTTAATAAAACTGTTTGGATTGACAATCGCATTGGAACCAGTCATCTAATGTATTAGAAATAAATCACCGTATGATATTATTGTCTTTATTCCCGAATTTATTATATTATGTTTATCTGGTTTGTTGGCCACCCAACGTAGAGTTGGACACGTAAATTCATTTAGATGTGTTACTAGTGCACATTTACAGCGAGACAACCTACCGAAAAGCAGCGGTCGAAGACTTAGTGTTCTCACTGTATAAAACTGTCCCGGTGCGAGCTCAAGTTTCCGTTCATGGCCAATCTGCAAAATAAAAAAAAACACAAGTCAGGATAACTAATGGTTAACCATAATTATACATCATCTTATATTATTACTGCTTTAAGAATGCTGGAGAAAAATATAAAGAAACCGAACGCCATATCTAATACATAAGTGATTGACAGTGAATGTGAACTTGTTTCGCCATATACACATGATAATGCGTCCTCGAGGAACCTGTGCTTCTGAAATTATGGCTACATTCATGTTCACTCCCATCAAATGCATATACGAAATAGAGCGAATTGATTGGAGTTACTCTACTATAATAACGACTTTATTATTACGTATAATATATGCCAGTCACGTAACAATGCGTTAGTTCCATTTAAATCGATGAACGCAGCGTGCAATGCGATATTGGTTTATAATTCAATCTCGCCTACATTTGGTAAAGAATTCCACTGTTTCCACGCGACTTCCCCCTCAGGCTAGCCACCTGCAATATGGTAATTACCTACGCTTTATTCTTTGATAACCTTGGAAATTAGACCTATACTGTCCGAGGGTATTTTAATTATTTTCTTTGAATAACATCTCATGTGGATATTTTGGGTCATTACGTTCTGCAGGCTCAGAACACTACAGTGCGTTTCAAGTTCTGATTTATAATACACATATGATTTATATAGTAGATCATATGGGTGTAGTCGTAAGTCGAGGAATTGACCAATGTGTAGGGATTGCAGATTATTCGTGGTCATTCTGAAATCAGTGGGTGCCAGTCAGCACTGTTGAATGTGATATAAGTGTTCCAGGGTGAAACGAAAACAGATCTAAACCTAACAAGGCTACCACAGTACATTGTGGATATAGTTTTCAAAGCATTACAGTGCAACACACAGAGTAGCACATAGTATACGCATCATATACAAGTTATCAGCTC